ATTACAAGCTTGAACCATCAGCTTGATGCATTTCTTGTGCCTCTGATGGACAGTGCCCCCTGACCTAGTAATCTTCAGTTTCCATTTATGTACTGTTAGGGCTGGGGAACTTTTAGTGTCAGGATATGTATTCTTCTCTTCTCCCAGTGCTTCCTCTAAGGGCCCTAGCCCTTGCCACAGTTTATATCTTCTTCCTTAGGATCCCAGAGCTTCACAGCTGCCTGGAGGGTGGGCTTGTTAGCATTGTAGGAGGAGGGACCACTTCTGTAAATGCCACCCCTGCCAAAGCCTGGGAGAGAGAGGTCTTCCACACACCATGTGGCAGCTGTGGTCCCTAGCCCTGAATCTTTAGGGTGGGTGTCAGGGGCGCACTTCCTGTCTTTGGTGTTGACAGTGAGGTGTAGCAGAAAGGGGCAACTTTACCAGACACCCAGCTGTTGTACATGCTCAGGAAGGGCAACTGGCTTAGTTGGGGGTTGTTGTGGCCCCAGGCCCTTGGCTGGCATCTTGGAGGCTTTGGTCCTGGATAATGGAGAGGAGAAACTTCACTGGCAGGAAGATTCCCCTGCCCCTTAATGTTGTCAAGAGGGCTTGTTCTCTGGGGATGTTTGAATTTTGTGAGGCTAGGGCTGCTCTGGAAATGAGGAACCCCGCCGCTCACAGAGTCCTTTTGTTACCCAGTGTAGGGGGTAGGGCCAGGCCTTGTGCTGTCTCTGTGAGGGGCATTGGTGAGAATTCTGGTGTCCCAGCGGGAGCCCATATCTAGCCTGGGGTCTGGTTCTTGGGGAAGGAGAGGATCCATGCACACCCAGGGCAGAGTGCACACCTGGGCGTGTTTGTGCCAGCTGGGAGGTGGTGTGCTCTGGGTGGGAAGGTAGATGCTTGGGGGTTATTGTTAGGGGGGCTCAGGTTTCTCCCTTCCCTCCCCCGCCCCCCTGAGGGGGCTCAGCTATTCCCTGGGGTTTCTTCCACTTTCCCAGACCTGCTGTCATCCTCCTGCCTGCCAGAGTTGGAGGCGGGGGTGGGGTGTTGGTAGGTTGGAGAAGGTTGAAGGGCAAAGGACCTACCTACTGAAGTAGCCAGCCTCTCAGAGCCACCTCAGCCCCAGTCTATCCCCTTGTCCTGCCTCCTGACCTTTGTAGGGGTTGGGGGTACCGAATCAGCTCTAAGGCTGCTGACTGATAGGGTGGGGTGAGTGGGCATTGGCTTTGCTAGAAGGGAGAGGTGAGACAGTGGACACCAGGACTCTTCCTGCTGTTCTCCCACCCCACTCACCCCCACGCACTGGAGAAAGGAGGCACCTACCCCTGGGGATAGTGAGGCAGAGTTACCACAGCTCTGCTCCACTGGAGCTCTGGGGGGAAGTTGGGCTCTGAGCCCTTGGGCTCCAGCCCTGCCCTTCCTTAGCCCACAGGACAGCTCAGCTCTTCCTGGCCCAGAACTGGAGGGGAGGAGGCTTGCAGTTAGCCGGCCAGCAGCCCAAGTAGTGCTTCCCCAGCCACAGGAACCTGGCCACACACCTGGCCTGGGGTAGAGAAGGGCCGGGGAGGGGGGAGCTGGCCTCCCAGTTCCCCCAGTGGGGTAGGGGTGTGTCTGCTTCCAGCATCCATGGTGGGGGACATTGGGTTGCTCAGAGGCCAGCAGGAAAGATCTGAAGTCTGAAGGTGGCCACTAGGCCTGGCTTGGGGGGGCCAGTGTCTGCCTTGGAAGGAGCCCCTTGGGGTATGGGGATTCTCTGGTGATTAGAGACGCCGTTCAGCCCCTCTTGGAGAATACCCCACTGCCCAGGGCCTCCACCGCAGATGGGAAGAGAGCAGGTTGGCTGTGGGAGGGGCTGCAGGGGCCCAGGGATCTTGCCTCCCTCCCACAGGCCCCATTTTGGTGCACTAGAGGACAAGGGGTGCATAGGATGTAGCTCCCCATCTGTCCCCCACCATTCTCAGCCACTTACGCCTCCACCAGCTCCCAGACGTCCAAGAATGTGAAGCACGTGGATGCCCGTAGTGGGGGAGGGGAGAGATGCTTATCAGGCAATCCATGGGCTTCTTCTGCCCTTCCACTGTGGCAGAGCAGACCCCCCCCCCCAGCTACCCCTGGGAGGAAGGGCAGTTAGAGGGCCCCTGTGCCCCCTCCCCAGCTTCTCCAGGGGCTGCAGAGGAGAGGGCGCCAGCTGGATTGGGAGGGGAGCCACTGGCTTGGGGCCCAGCTGATTTCCTGCTGATCTCCTCCAGGAAACTGGCCCCTTGCGCGAGGTTGCGAACAGCTCTGGGGCGTGGGGACTCCAAGCACTGAGCACCCGCCCTGGAGGGGGAGCAGAGGAGAGGCACCCGCAGGCAGCGGCTGCAAGAGGGGATGCAGGGCTTCCTGGGCCTCTGCCAGCCTTTGCTGGGGATCTAGAACTTCGAGCTGAGAAGGTGTGGTCCTTCTGCAGCTTGAGTCCTTCTGGAAAAAGGGAGATTTGTGGGCTGGGAGCCTCTGGGAGGGAGCCTTATGGAGGGCCTGGCTAGGGTAGTCTTTCCCCTGGTACACCCCCTCACCTGTCTGTGCTGAGTTTATAGCTCTTTCAGAAGCCTGGAGAGGTGGGGCCTGGGCCATAGGTTCTGGGTTCAAAGGGCAGAGCAGGCAACCTCCAAGCTATGTTACCTGGGTGACAGGTTTGGATATGCTGTGGATGTAGGTGCAGGCTGTTAACATCTTCGAAGAGGGCCAGTGGCTGGGGTAGGAGGGGGCTGGCCCAGAAAGAGGCTTCAGTCAGCCCACGGTAGACCTATAAAGTCAGGTTTGTTTTTTTGTTTGTCATGGGGCTTGAACACTGGGTCTTGGACACTGTCACTAAGCTTTTTTGCTCAAGGCTAGTGCTCTGCCACTTTGAGCCACAGGTCCACATGTGACTTTTTAGTGGTTAATTGGAGATAAGAGTCTCGTGTACTTTTTCTGCCTGGGCTGGCATTAAACCTCAGTCCTCAGATTTCAGCCTTGTGAGTAACTAGGATTACAGGCGTGAGCCACCAGTGCCTGGCCAAAAATCAGCTTTAAAAGGGTATTTCAGTGCCATAAATACCCTGTGGACTTTGCCTAGCTCCAAATTTCTATAGGCCTTTGCCCCTGTGATCTCTCCTCTTATCTAGCCTTAGAACCCACTGCTGCTGCTGCTGCTCCTCCTTGGTGTCTTCTGTCTCCTGTGCCCCACCTTCCCTCCCTCCCATGTACCCCTAAACTCTCCAGTCCTTTTCAACTGGTTCATTTTAGAGGTGGAGGCTTGGTGGGGCGCCAGGGCAAAGGATGGGTAAAGAGGGGAGAGGAGGTCAGGGCCTTCTTACTCTGCTTGTTGGAATGCCAACCAGAATTCTAGGCCAGACCCCCTTTGTCCTTGAAGCCCTCCCCCCCATTGTCTATTGTTACTGCTTTTACGTCTTGGAAAAAGTTAGCACAACAAAGGACTCCTTTGTCACTCACCCCTCTGCCTCCTGGCCTCACCCAGGCCCCCCAACCGCCCCCCCCCAACAGCTGTTCTTAGACCTTCCTGCCTGTCTGATTGGCTTGTGTGGCTTGGGGAGAGTGAAGTAGAGATGAGGCCTAGGCAGCTCCCTGTTGGGGTGAGCAGTAGAGAGCTGGAGGAGGTCAGTGAAGGATTGGCTAGACCTGTGGGGGTGGGCACAGGCATAGATTGTCCCTTTGCTGCAAGCTGGTTTCTGGGCAGGGAAGGAGACCTGAGACTACAGCAGCGCTGGTCAGTCTGTTGACCAGAGAAGTGATACCCAGGCCCTACTAGGAGCCAGAAGTGCCTGGTCCCCTGTCATCAGCTGCCTGGCAGCCCCTTGTATATTCTTAGGTAAGGGGGTGGGTGGTAATCTGAGAGTCCAGCCCCCCCGGTGTCCCTCAGCTTCCTGCCTCTGTGCCTGACCTTGGTGGCTACTCTCATCTAGAGGGTGCGCATTCCCCTTTAAGTACCAGTTTCTGTGCAGAGTGTGGAGGAGCAGGGTGTGTGAGGAAGCCACCTCTATCAGGGTGGCACCCCTGTCCCTCCTTGGCTTGGTGTATATGGCACAGGCCTCAGAAGGATGCTGGGTGGCCTCTTGGGAATGTCCAGCTGCCCAGGCTCTTGATACAGACATCCTCCCCCCCATTCAGTCTTGGGTGAGGGGCATGGAGTGAGGCACTAGGAAGGCTGGGGTTAGTAGGGGCGCTGCCCCTGCTGGCTAGGTTACCCCTGCTAGCTGCCCTCTTGGAGCTGAATAACAGGAGGGGAGGGGGTAGTAACCCGGATATACCATTGAGGCCAGACAGACAGGGCATTGATGGGAACAGACCCCCCTTTGTCATGTTCACCCCCCACCTGGGGTGGGGTGACGGGCTTCTGGGGGCCGTGGGGACTCTGCTTGTCTTAAAGGGGATTCCTCTACTTATCTCAGGGAGGGCCTACCCGCCCTGCCCCTCTCTGCTTCACCATTTGTGATTCTTCTTTGCACACCCCGCCTGGGACCCTGCCTTGGCCAGTGGATTGTTTGGGTGGAGGAGGGGCTGTGGTTGCTGGCAGAGAGGGTGGAAGGGGGGGCGGAAGCAGAGGGGCGAGGGAGTGGCCGCCTTTGAATATCCTGTTGACCCCAGTTTCCTCTGTCCCCAGCTTATGTCCTCTTCCCTCCCTCTTCACGTCTTAACTCCTTCCTAACTTGGGGGAGACCTGGCCAGGTGCCCAAGGGCCAGGGCTTTGGAACCTTCCCCCTGCCTGCCCAACAGGTACTCACCCAAATCTTCTTGAGGTTGAAGGTGGGTCCTAGGGAGGCAGACAGGAATGGGGGGACTGGAGGCTTTAGTGGTAGCCTCCCTCCCCCAAGTTTGGTTGGGGACGTTCCTAATACTGTCTCTGCTCAGACTTTGGAGTGCTGCCATCAGCGGTATTGAGGTGGAAGAGGCTCCTGGGTGAGGCCAAGAGTTAGGGCGGGCAGAGTACTAAAAGATGGTGACCTGGCACTCAACACCTCTGCCCTCTTCTCTCCTAGCCATTGAGACCCAGAGCAGCAGTTCGGAAGAGATAGTGCCCAGCCCGCCCTCGCCACCCCCCCCTCCCCCGCATCTACAAACCCTGCTTTGTCTGTCAAGACAAATCCTCAGGCTACCACTATGGAGTCAGCGCCTGCGAAGGTTGCAAGGTGAGTCCCGGAGTCATCAGAATCATTCGAACAGACAGTCTCAATGGGATAAATGAAGGGTCCCCACTGCCACTTCCAGGGGATGCACTTGGGGTAGGGGGTGGCCTTTGAGTGTGAGCTGGCAGCCGCTGTAGAGGAGGGGTGCCTGTAATAGAACCTCCTCTAAAGATGAGCAGGGCACCCCCAAACCAAAGGGTCCCCTCTTGCCTGAGCTCTCTGGATCCATCTCCCAGCTGGCAAGGCGTATATACAGGCTCTACCACCGCTGCCCAGGTTGCCATGGTGAGCTGGCTGCCAACTGGCTCTTGGCTGGGGACCCAAGAGGTCTGCCTTGGCCGCCTGGCGGGAGGTGGTCAGGAGCAGGCACCCTGCCTTGGCCTCCTCTTCAGCCATCCAGGACAGGGCCCTTCCCCCCCTCCCCCTGGGGTCCTGCTGGATTCCTGTCCTCATGCTAGGTTCCAGATGCAGACATGGCTGCACCTTTCCTGCAGCTCCCAGTCTGGTGTCCTAGCTGCTACTCCATTCTTGGTTCCTGCTTCAGACACAGGAGCCTGGGAGCTGTGCAGATTCAGGGTCTGGGGCTCTGGGACACCTCTCAGCCTGAAGTGGCTGTCTCCAGATGTGAGAGAAAGGTCAAGGGCAAAGCTGCAGACTATCTGCTGATTCTCTCTGGTTGTTTCTGCTTATTCCTACCTATTCTTTCCTTCCTTCCTTCCCTCCCTCCCTCCCTCCCTTTTTTTGGTCATGGGGCTTGAACTCTGGGCCTGGGTGCTGACCCTGAGCTCTTCAGCTCAAGGCTAGCGCTCTTACCACTTGAGCCACAGGGCACTTCTGGCTTTTTCTGCTTATGTGGTGCTGAGGAATCAAACCCAGGGCCTCATGCATGTGAGTCAAGCACTCTACCACTGAGTAACCTTCCCAGCCCTTCTTCCTCTCTCCCTCCCTCCCCTTCTCTCTTTCTCTCTTCTTTCTCTTTCTCCCTTCCTTCCTTCCTTTCTTCCTTCCTTCCTTTCTTTCTTTCTTTCTTGCCTGGGCACTGTCCTTAAGCTTCTTTTGCTCAAAGCCAGCACTCTACCACTTGAGCCACAGCACCACTTCCAACTTTTTCTGTTTATGTGGTGCTGAGGAATGGAACCCAGGGCTTCATGCATGCAAGGCAAGCACTCTACCACTAAGCCACATTCCCAGCCTCTGCCCAGTCTTTCTACATGCTCCTAGGTCTTGGCTGGTCCCGGCCTGTGTGTCTGGTGGGTCAATGTGTGTCTTGCCTCTCTGTCTCTGCCTTCTTGGCCTCTTCTGCCGTCTTCTCTTCCTGCATTCTGAGTCCTGGGCTGTGGGTTCCAGAACTCTGCCTCTCTCCCATTAGCCTCTGGTGTTCCAGCAGCCTTTCCCCCAGCAGGGAGGAGTTGGATAGATGGGTGCGGGGTAGAGGAATACACTGGCCACTCTGAGGTTCTTCTGAGGAGTCCTTCTGGTCAGCCCTCTTCCTGCCTCTTCCCAGGCAGGTGTTGGGCAAAGGCCTGTGGCAGAGGCTCTGGGACAGGCGGCTGCGCCTGTGTGTGGGTGGCCTGACTCCCCTCCTCTATATCCAGGGCTTCTTCCGCCGCAGCATCCAGAAGAACATGGTGTACACATGTCACCGGGACAAGAACTGCATCATCAACAAGGTGACCCGGAACCGCTGCCAGTACTGCCGGCTGCAGAAGTGCTTCGAAGTGGGCATGTCCAAGGAGTGTAAGTGCCACACCTGCCCCAGGTGGGGCTCGAGGGAGCGGGGCCGAATGGATGTGTGTGCACATGTGTGAACATGCATGCTTGTGGCATAGCACAGATGGTTTGTGTGTAGCTGCAAGGACCTGTTTGTGAGTCTGCCTGGCTGGGTGTTGAGATGTGGGTCAGTGCTTGAGTGCAGTGTGCACGTGACCGTTCCATGTGCCTGTCTGTGTGTGCTGGCATGCGTGTGTATATGTGTACCCATGCTCAGGACAGCTTTCTTCCAGGCCCTTGCTTGCCTTTGGGGTAAGGATCAGTGGTTTACTTGAATCTCTTTTAGTTAGCCATCTTTCATGGGGGTGGGGGGTGCGGAGCCTGATCTCTGTGGGGTACAAGGTTTGTGCTTATGTGTTGGGGGGCTGGCTGGCACAAGAATCCAGAAGCCATTGTTGGGGTAAGCCTGAGACTTGGAGTCAGAAGAGAGAATTGGGCTTCTCAGATTCCCAGAGGAACAGGGACTTCCAGTTGGGCTCAGCTGAGGCCTAGGAAGGGAGAGAGGGAGGGAGAGGCTGGACAGGGAGACCCTCTTGTGTTGAATCATGGGTGTTGCCGTGGTGACTGGTGATTGATGATGTCAGAGATAAATGACGCTGACAGACGCCTCCTTGTCTGCGTGGCCGTTGCCATGGAGCCTGAGCCTTGGGGGATGAGGTGGGGGAGGGGGCGGCAGGACCCCCTACCCCCTTGTGGGAAGGGAAGTGGGGAGGGGCCAGGGGATGATTGTGACTCATGCACTAGGAGCCTTAGACAAGAGCGGAAGGGAGCTGGAGTATGCTGCCCGCTCCTGCCCCTGGAGGCCGGTGGTGCCCGTCTGGAGTCTAGGAAGTGGTGTTTCCTTGAGGCGGAGTGATACCACTTCGGACTTGAAGGCCTGGGACCCTTCTCTGGCAGGCCGTCACCTCCTTCTCCCTCAGGGCCACCTTCCCTTCCTTTCACTGCAGAAGGACCAGGGTGGGGACCCCTCTCCCTCCCACTGTCGACTCCCCCTTTCTCTCCCTCCTTCCCCTCTCCCTGCTGCTCTGTGCCCTGGAGCTGAGCAGCTGCCATTTCAATAGAATTAAAGCTTCCGAATGATAAACGTCTTGTCACAGCTGCAATTTTCTCTTCCCAAATTATCCCCCCACTCTCTCTCTCTCCCTCTCCCTCTTCTCCCCTGCACTTTATTGAATTTGCAGAATCGACATGAGTGATCTCCAAATTATGCCAGCGCTCCCCCCCCCCCCCGCTGCCCCCTCCCGAGTCCCCCCAACCCCCACCCTGCTTTCCTCCCTCGTCAGCAGCCACCACCATGGCCCTGTGAATGATTGTGTGTCTGGGATAATCGGCTGGTAACGACCCCATCGCTTCTTTAAAGCCGAGTGGTGTGTGCGGCTCAGCGCCCCTGGTGATTTGTCAGCTCCCCGGCTAATGGGCCGAGAGATTCTCCTGTGGGCCCCCCACTCTCTTGGGCTGTGGGGCCCTTAGTCCCTGCCTGCCTGCCTGCCTGCCAGACAAGCTGCTCTGAGCCAGTCCCAGGGACCCCCTGGGAGAGTGCGGCCTGGAAGGCAGGCATCCCCCTGGGGGGGGCAGAGGAGCTATGCAGTGAGGCTGCTGGCCCTGAGCACTGGCCCTTGGCGCGTGGGCTGGAGGGACAGATGCGTGGGAGAACAGGGTCTCACAGGCTGCCACCTGTGTGTGTGTGTGTGTGTGTGTGTGTGTGTGTGTGCGCGCGCACGCGCATGTGTGGGCATCTACTCCCAGCCAGGTGACCTCAGCAGCTGGCATCTAGGGCTGGTGCAAGTTGCTTGGGCTGGACCTAGGCCTGGGGTGGGCACTGTGTGTGGCAGCTGCTCTCTAAACGGCCCTGTGCCCTCCACAGCTGTGCGGAACGACCGGAACAAGAAGAAGAAGGAGACCCCAAAGCCTGAGTGCTCGGAGAGCTACACACTGACGCCGGAAGTGGGGGAGCTCATCGAGAAGGTGCGCAAGGCACACCAGGAGACCTTCCCCGCCCTCTGCCAGCTGGGCAAGTACACTACGGTACGCCACAGGGCCCTCTGCCTCGCGTTGCCACCTCACCCCGGCCAGGGTCTCCTGGCCTCCCCTTGCCCTTCCTCTGCCCCTTCCGCCAAGCAGCTCTCAGGAAGCAAGGCTGGGTGGAGGGCTGGCCAGGGAGCCGGTGGAATCAGGCTGAGGATGGGTGCCATGGAGGAGGCTCTCACTCTCCTCCCTCCCCCAGAACAACAGCTCAGAACAACGTGTCTCTCTGGACATTGACCTCTGGGACAAGTTCAGTGAACTCTCCACCAAGTGCATCATTAAGACCGTAGAGTTTGCCAAGCAGCTGCCCGGCTTCACCACCCTCACGATCGCTGACCAGATCACCCTCCTCAAGGCTGCCTGCCTGGACATCCTGGTGAGGGGCTGCTCCTGTTCCCTGGGCACTGCTCTCACCTCCCTGCACATGTCTGGGACTGACCCATCCACATGACCAGCACCCAGAAAGCCATCTTTCTCCTCCCACATCAGCCTGTCCATTCATCCGTTGTCCGCCGACCCAGGTGTACATGGGTTTACCTGGTCACCTATGCCCACACCTGTCTGTCTTCCCATCTTTCCATCCCTCCATTTAGTCCATAATGAGAGTCTCCTGGGGCCCCCTGGCCAGTCCCATCGCTGAATGCATAGACTTGAACACACCACCTCCCCTCTCTCAAAAACCTCCCAGTGGAGGAGGCCGTAGGCAGTGAACAGATCCGAAGCTGATTACTGCTGAGGTGGGGGAGGGCTGGCCTCTCCCTGCTACCCTCCCCCAACAAGGATGTCTCAAAGGAGTACCTCGTGGGTTCTTACAGGGGCGGGTGGAAGGTCATCCCTCCCCTAGGAGCAGGTGAAAGCCTGCTGGATTCAGGGGACAGGAAGGTACTTGGAGCTGCCAGCGTGACCTGAGAAGGGATGGGGTGCAGGGTAGTACAAACAGCCCAAGTGGAGGCTAGAAGGAGGACTTCCTTTTCCTCTGTCATCCGTAAGAAGGGATGTTCCCTCCCAGGTACAGCCAGGGATGGGAGTGTGGAACGTGTGGTCCAGGCCGTGCACCGATGTGACCTACACAATTGAGTTCCTGTGATTCAGGCTGACGCGCCGTTGATCAGGCTCTGTTCTGGAAATCCCTTTCCCTCAGAATTCTCTGCACGGAGACAGCGGCGCAGTGACTTAGATTGGCGCTGCCCAGCTCAGTCGCAGCTCACCACATGTGACTATATTTAAACCTAAATTAATTACAGTTAGGTTCAGTTCAGTTGCTCAGATGCATTAGCCACATCTCAAGTGCTCTGTAGTCACATGGGGCTGGTGACTACCATGTGGGCTGTGCAGACAGAACCTCTCCATCACTGCAGAAAATTCTGCCGGACAGCCGTGCTTTGGCTGCCTGCCAAGGGCCTCTGGGGATGCTGGTGCTGGAGTGCTGGGAATGGGTGGGACTGAGCCCTGGATTTGTGCTTCCCCTGAACTCAGATCCTGCGGATCTGCACGCGGTACACACCTGAGCAGGACACCATGACCTTCTCAGACGGGCTGACCCTGAACCGGACCCAGATGCACAATGCTGGCTTCGGTCCCCTCACCGACCTGGTCTTTGCCTTCGCCAACCAGCTGCTGCCTCTGGAGATGGACGATGCTGAGACCGGGCTGCTCAGCGCCATCTGCCTCATTTGTGGAGGTGAGTAGGGGCCTAGGACAAGGCCCAGACCCAGGGTTGGGGTGCAGACCCTAGATCCTCTTCTAAGAAACTGAAGCCTGTCTGTCAGGTCTCTCTCAAACGGGACATTGAGGCTCAGGACGCAGTGTCTGCTTCTGCCTCTGCTAGACACCAACGCCTGAACCTCTTGTTCCCTGTTTCTGGGCAGCATTCTTCTAGGTGCCTAGATCAAGAGTGAGAGGCGGACCACCCAGGGTCAAGTCCTAGGTGGCTGTGTGACCTTGAGCAGGTTGCTGGACTTGGAGCATCTGTTTCTGTCGGATGGATCAATAGTGGCCTCTTCCTCATAAAGATGGGGGGAGGGGTAAATAAGGCACTGTGTGCCCAGACTAAGATCTGCTGTTGCTGTCACTTGTGTGTATCATGCTGCTTTCCCAAGTAATGACGTCTGTGGGTCTGTGTGAGGGAGCTCTTCCTGTGACCTGGCCCCATACCACCAACTGGACTGGAGGGGAGGGTTTTGGGCTGCCTAGGTTTCCATTTCTCTGGCCTTGCCTGGAGGCACCTGGGAGCAGCCAGGCTCCTATGCTGTGGCCTGGGCAGGTGCGACCTCCAGTGGCTGTGGCTGGGAGTGCAGTGGTGTTCCCAAGTGACCTGGCCTGCCTGCTCAGAGGTTGGCTTTGTGCTTCCCAGATCGGCAGGACCTAGAACAGCCAGAAAGGGTGGACATGCTCCAAGAACCGCTGCTTGAGGCACTGAAGGTGTACGTGAGGAAACGGAGGCCCAGCCGTCCCCACATGTTCCCCAAGATGCTGATGAAGATCACGGACCTGAGAAGCATCAGTGCTAAGGGTGAGTCTCCTGGTGCTGGAAGACCCACTCCTGACACCTGGCCTAAGGCCCAGGCCCAGGGCCTGGACCCCCACAGCAGGGCTGGCACTCACGTCTTTGTGCTTGTCTGGATCCAACCTGTCCCCATTCAGACCACAACAGTGTTGGCATGTTCACACCACTGAATAGGGCTGTGCGGAGGGGGGGGGGGGGGGGGGACAGTGGTTATGTTCAGAGGTGTCAGCTCCCAGCACTGGGGACCAACCCAGGGCCAAACCAGCAGGCAGTGTGCACCTGGACCCGAGGTCAGAGCCATTTGTCCCAGTGCCACATGTTGGAGACTTGAGAGCTGGCATGTGTCACATCGCGAGTGCAGAACACGATGGAGACCCACAGGGCCGCATTGGTTTCCTCATTCCCAGCTTCTCTCCCAGAGGGGCTTTGTGGGCGGGGCTAGGGCTCAGCTGGTGCACTGACCTTTGCCCTCCCTTCCTGCAGGGGCTGAGCGAGTGATCACCTTGAAGATGGAGATCCCAGGCTCTATGCCGCCTCTTATCCAGGAAATGCTGGAGAACTCGGAGGGCTTGGACACTCTGAGCGGACAGGCAGGGGGTGGGACAAGGGACGGGGGTGGCCTGGCCCCTCCGCCAGGCAGCTGTAGCCCCAGCCTCAGCCCCAGTTCCAACAGAAGCAGCCCAGCCACCCATTCCCCATGACCACCGCGCCACATGGACACAGCCCTCACCCCTGTCCTGGCTTTTTCTGCCTTCTACCGACCATGCAACCCTTGCCAGCCCTGCCCCTGCCCATCCTCCCAGACAGAACTGGGGACAGGAGGAGGAGGCAGCGACTGTGGACAGAGATCTGGGCCTGCGATGGACTGTCTCTTCCCACAGCTGGGGCTGACGCCGGGGCAAGGTGGAGCCCAGGAAGGACCTGGCCTGGGCCTGCTGCCCATGGAGACGGACGGCCCCTGCCCACCCGGCCACATCTTCATCACCAGCAAAAGGCCGCCGGGACCTGGCTCTCTCCATCCTTTGAACTCATAAGCCATTGCTCCCCAGCTGGGGGCCCTCCCCCTGCCTTGGTTGGTGACCGAGGGGTGGCTGGGGTGGGGGAGCTTCCCCTGTACATACCCTGAGTACCAACCCCCCAGGTATTAATTCTCGCTGGTTTTGTTTTTATTTTAATTTTTTTTTGGTTTTGATTTTTTTTAAATAAGAATTTTCATTTTAAGCACATTTATACTGAAGGAATTTTGCTGTGTCTTGCGGGGAGCTGGATTCCGAGTTGGAGGGGGCGGGCCTCGGGAGGGGCGGGGCTCCAGGGACGCCCCTCTCCACGTCCCTTGTCCCTGCACTCTCCTCAGCCTTTTCTCCTCAGTTTTCTCTTAAATACTGTGAAGTACTAACTTTCCAAGGCTGTCTTTCCCTCCCTGTGTGAGGACAGAAGCCAGCCCCCTTCCCCCCCCCCCCCCGCCCTCCCGCTCACCCCTGAGGGTGGGCAGAGTCTGCAGCACTTCTGGAAGGAGAGGGCCTTTGGAACCTGCCTCCATCCACCAAGAGGCAGGTTGGGGCCCCCTGGGGTGAGAGCGGGGTGCTGTCTACCTGCCAGGCCCCCACCATCCAAGCTCCCGGCCCCACTGTGAAGGGGCTGGCCAAGGAGTCCAAGCTGCCCCCCCCCTCAGCCTCACAGCCACCAGCACCCCACCCCACGGGGCCCCTAGACACACACACACACACACACACACAGTAGATGGCAACACACTTGGCCTGAGTTCCTCCATTCCTTGGCCTGTCCTCTCTCGCCCTATACCCATGTCCCCTCATTGCCCCGCAGGACGGGCCTCCAGGGGGACCCCTCCCCTTGCCCCTGCATTCCTGGGCTGGGGGAGCTGGCTCTGCCCTGCCCTCCTGGCCATGGGGTTGGGGTCTCATCCCTGGAGCTGGTGCACCTGTTACTGTTGGGCTTTCCACTAAGATCTACTGGATAAAGAATAAAGTTCTATTTATTCTACATGTGTCTGTGTCTTGCTACCTCAAGTCTGGACAGTGGTCTTGATATTAGGGTGCTCCCTGGCAGGCTTTAGAACTTTGTGATCAGGTACAGGGGGTCAAGTAGAGCCCCTGCTATGTGGAGGTCTACACTGCCTGGGTTGGGGGTGGTGGTGGGAAGGCTGGGAAAAGGGACCTGACAGGAGAGTCCGCTGTGCCTTTGGGAGCCCCAGTTGGGGAGAAAATAGGTCCCTGGGTTTCAGCACTTCAGCCTTGGGGTACCAGAGGCTAAGCTTATAGCCACTCACTGTCAGAGGAACTCAATTTGGGGAGTGGCCAGAGGCTTTGATCTTCATGACAGCAGTGGCAGGTGTCATGGGCTAAGGTCAGGGTTTGGTGGCATGAGACACCAACAATAGCTCCCAAGAGCAGCCCCTCCACATCCATCCTCCTGCAGGAAGGACTCCCTCTGTCCTGTCCACCCTGAGGCCACTCTACATAGCAGGCACAAAGGACAGACTGCATGAGTACCTGGAGTGTGTGCTGGCCTTCCCTTCTACCGCTCCACATTTCACCCGGGAGGCAGCTGAGTCCTTGAGCAAACTCAGGCAGTGACTTTAGTGGCAGATCACAGCTACCTGCTTCTTAGCCCAGGGTGTGTCTTTTTATTTAAAGTTGTTTTTATTGTTTCAAAAGTGATGTACAGCTGGGCACCAGTGGCTCACACACTGAGTAGCTCACACTTAGCTACTCAGGAGGCTGAGATCTGAGAATCGTCGTTTGAAGCCAGCCTGCGCAGAAAAGACTGTGAGACTCTTTTTTTTTTTGGGGGGGAGGGTGGTCCGGTTGTGGGGCCTCAACTTTGGGCCTGGGCGCTGTCCCTCAGCTCTTCAGCTCAAGGCTAGCGCTCTACCACTTGAACCACAGGGCCACTTCTGGCTTTTCTCTTTTTGCTTATGTGGTGCTGAGGAATCGAACCCAGGGCCTCATGCATGCAAGGCAAGCACTCTACCACTGAGCCACCTTCCCAGCCCGACTATGAGACTCTTATCTCCAAGTAACCACCCAAAACCCAGAAGTGGTGCTGTGGCTTAAATGGTAGAGTACTAACCTTGACAGAGAGGCTCAGGGACAGCTCCCAGGCCCTGAGATCAAGCCCCACAACCAACCAAAAAAACAAAAAGTGATGTACAGAGGGGTTACAATTACATAAGTCAGGTACAGAGTACATTTCTTGGGCTGGGAATGTGGTTTAGTGGTAGTGTTTGTCTAGCATGCATAAAGCCCTGGGTTTGATTCCTCAGTACCACATAAACAGAAAAAGCTTGGAAGCCTCGGGACTGGCAAAAAAAAAAATTCTTTTTGGACAATGTCACCCCTTCAGTCACAGCCCTGTTGTTTTTTTAATTTAATTTTTAATTTTTTAATTTTTTGTCAGTCATGGGGTTTGAATTCCGGGCTTGGGCGCTGTCCCTCAGCTCTTCAGCTCAAGGCTAGTGCTCTAGCTGGGCGCTGGTGGCTCACGCCTGTAATCCTAGCTACTCAGGAGGATCTGAGGATCGCGGTTCAAAGCCAGCCCGGGCAAGAGAGACCGTGAGACTCCTATCTCCAATAAACCACCAGAAAACCGGAAGTGGCGCTGTAGCTCAAGTGGTAGAGCGGTCGCCTTGAGCTGAAGAGCTGAGGGACAGCGCCCAAGCTGAGTTCAAGCCCCACAACCGACCAAAAAAAAAAAAAAAGGCTAGTGCTCTACCACCACTTGAGCCACAGCCCCACTTCCATTTTTCTGGTGGTTTATTGGAGATAAGAGTCTCTGGGCTGTTCCTGCCTGGGCTGGCTTTGAACCACGATCTTCAGATCTCAGCCTCTTGAGTAGCTAGGATTACAGGAGTGAGCCATGGGCGTCCAGGGCTCTCCCGGTTTTTAACCTCAGCCTAGAGCTTTTTATTGGATATCTGGAACCCCAAAAGAGGAATCACAGTGGGTGTGATGGTAGGAGAAGCTCAGTGCCCTAGGCAAAGAACAAGAGGTTCCCTGGGAGGCCTCCAGCATTTCTACACCAGCCACAAGGGGGCAGTAGCTCCTTCTGTAAGGCCCTCTCCAGAGGGCACCTTGGGAAGAGGTGATTTCCTCTGGGAAATATTTTCTAACATCTTTAGGAAACAAATCAAAGTATAAAATTCTTCTATGCATACTTTCAAATATCTGTGATATCACATATTACACAGGAGGAATGGGGATGCATTGGGTATTGCAATACATTTGTTCGTGCTTCTATTGTAAATGAGGACTTTTTAATCTAGCAGGCTACGACAGCACGCTGAAACAGACAAAAACTGGAGTTTTTTTATTTTTGGTTGTAGAGTTTGAATTCAGGATGCGGTTCTTGAGATTTTTCCTGCTTAAGGTTAGTGCTCTACCACTTTGAGCTTCACTTCTGGTTTTCTGTTGGTTAACTGGAGGTAAGAATTTCATGAACTTTCCTGCTCAGGCTGGCTTTGAACTGTGATCCTCAGATCTCAGTCTCCTGAGTAGTTAGGATTCTAGGCATGAGCCACCAGAGCCAGCAAAAACTGTAATATTCCAAAGGCAACACCACCACCACCATGAATACATCAGAACAAAACAGAAACCAAATCCAGAAACAAATTCTCCACATAAACCAGGGCCAGGTACTGGGCTAAGGTAATTTAAAGAGATTGTTCGATTGTTCTCTATATAAATATATCTTTTTAAAATTCTGTTTTTATTTATTTATTTTGTTGGTCATGGAGCCTGAACTCTGGTTCTTCAGCGCAAGGCTAGTGCTCTGCCACTTGAGCCACAACACCACTTCTGGCTTTTCCTGCTTATGTGGTTCTGAGGAATCGAACCCAGGGCCTTATACATGCAGAGCAAGCACTCTACCACTAAGCCACCTTCCCAGCTCCAAATTCTATTTTTTTTTTTTTGTCTTTTCTTTTTTGGTCCTGGGATGGAACCCAGAACGTTGCACTTGCTTAGGCATGTGCTTTGCTGCCGAGCTACATCTCAGCCCTGTAAACGTCTTTCTTTTTTTTGGGGGGGGGGGCCAGTTGTGGGGCCTGAACTCTGGGCCTGGGCACTGTCCCTCAGCTCTTCAGCTCAAGGCTAGCGCTCTACCACTTGAGCCACAGCACCACTTCTGGCTTTTTTGTCTTTTTGCTTATGTGGTGCTGAGGAATCGAACCCAGGGCCTCATGCATGCAAGGCAAGCACTCTACCACTGAACCACCTTCCCAGCCCTGTAAATGTCTCTTTTAAACTTGGATGTAACAATGCTTTATTTTGAGAGGGTATCTTGGCATCCGTATTCCTTTATCAAAGCCATCTGTGTCCCTGATCACTGTGACAACCAGGCAGTGGTCCCCACACTGATGAACTTCCCTTGGGGAAGTGTTCTCCTGTGCTGATTGGCTCACAGTTGGGGATTACTGGGTTCCAGGTCATCTTTCACACACACACACACACACACACACACACACACACACACACACACACAAATGCACCCACACGCAGGCACATGCTATTATTAGGGTTGAACTTAGGGTCTGAGCTCTATCCCTGAGCTTTTTTGTTCAAGGCTTCCACTTTAGCCACAGCTTTACTTCCAGTTTTCTGGTGGTTGATTGGAGATCAGAGTCTCATAGACTTTTCCTGCCCAAGCTGGCTTTGAATTACGATCCTCAGATCTCAGCCTCCTGAATAGCTACGATTACAGGTATGAGCCACCGGTGCCTGGCTCCAGGTGGTCCTTTCCGGTCCTCAGTTCATCAGTGTAAAGCAGAGTCTCAGGCATGGCACCAGGCACACAGGGCTAGGTGACAACTTGCCGCATGCAGCCTCCCTGGCCTCTACCTTGAAGGTGCCAATGGTGTTTCCTCCTGAGCTGTGACAATCAAAGCAGCTGGTGCTGGTGGCTCAGGAGGCTGAAATCTGGAGGACGAAGAGTCAGAGTCAGCCCAGGCAGACATATTTATGAGACTCTTACCCCAATTAGCCAACAAAAGGCCAGAAGGGGAGGTGTGGCTCAAGTGGTAGAACCTTGAGTAGAAAAAGCTAAGGGTAAGTGGCAGGCCTTAAATTTAAGCCCCAGTGCTGATGCTTGTACACATGTGCACACGTGTATGCATGGGTGCACTCACACACACACACACACACACACACACACACACACACACACACACACACAGAGTCCCTTTCAGCCACTCACCCTGTAAAGAAAAGACCTAGGTGGGGCCCAGAGGGTTTTCGTAGTTTTGCATAAGTAGAAATTGCCAGCAGTTCTGTGTTTTAGTTGGTTCCATTATTTTTGCCTTTTTTTTTTTTCCTGGTCAGGCATGGGGCCTGAACTGTGAGCCTGGGCACTGTCCCTCAGCTAGCGCTCTACCACTTGAGCCACAGTGCCACTTCCAGCTTTTTCTGCTTATGTGGTGCTGAGCCATCAAACCCAGGGCCTCATGCATGCAAGGCAAGCACCCTACCCCTGAGCCACCTTCCTAGCCTTTTACTAATTTTTTGTTGTTGTTGGTGGTGGTGGTGGTGGTCGTGGGGCTTGAACTCTGGGTTTGGGTGCTGTCCCTGCGCTCTTCAGCTCAAGGTGAGTGCTCTACTGCTTGAGCCACAACACCACTTCTAGTTTTCTGGTGAATAATTGGAGATCAGAGTCTCCCAGACTTTCCTGCCTGGGCTAGCTTTGAACGGTGATCCTCAGATCTCAGCCTTTTGAGTAGCTAGGATTACAGGCATGAACCACTGGTGCCCGGCATATTTTGCTACGTTTTTGTAAACCAGGATCTAAGTATAATCTAGGCTGGCCTTGAACTCACTATCCTCCTGCCTTTCTACCTCCTGAGTGCTGGGCCTATCAGCTTGGTCTGGGAGGGGCTAAAGCCAAGCTGTGGGCTATCTCCAGAGCAGGGGCAGTGGAGTTGCCCTGGGCAGCATCGAAAGGGGTGGTGATGAGAGGGGGTTAACGGGGAAGGTGATGGTTGGGTGGCAAAG